TATTTTAAATTATAAAAATTAAATTTGTATATAAATGTATTATAGCCTAATCAATTATTTTATTTTATTTTCCTTTAGTCTCAAGATCGCTTTGTATACAGTAGCTGTAAACGCTCCCTTAAAAGGTAGCTGACTATGTAGATGTCGAGCAGATGCGATTCTAGGATTTTCATTTTAGGGGGGCTCAGCCCCCAATTAGGGTATAATATATATATACTATATTAGGGATGCACCGATACTGGTCTCCTGTACTCGTTAAAATGCCCCGATACCAAACTGTATTCTACTGTATTGCATAGATGGGTGTAACATATAACTAAATAAGCCAAATACAAATCTTCATGATCTCACACACAACTGTTAACTGTACACAAACAAAATTTTACTGTTTGCATTTCTAGTACAACCCTCTTTCCTTAGCTCAAGTATGCAAACCTCTTTGCCACATGCACTGGAATGTGTATTACATTGAAAGTTAAATTTTCAAATGAAAATGGCAACATGATTGTTTTATAAAGTATGCGTATGTGCTTCATGTTCATGAAGGAAACGGCTGTAGTGTGATGCGGGGTGAACGCAGGGAAAACTTTACAGTAGATGTGGAACCGATTGATACCCCCATGATATTTTTAAAACTGTATTTATGACAAAGAACTGCGCAGATGCAGATATTATAACAATCTATTGATAAACACAGACCTTGTCCTCTGTTTGTCGCTCTGCGTCGCCGCAGTCTGCGGATTGAAAAAGAACGCGCTGAAAGACGGAGAGGAGCCGATCGAAGTCTGCCACTGTTTTCATATGCATTTTAAATGGGACTGAGGTGATCAGGAATTTGTGTACAGTTTATGGAGCTAATCACAAAATTTTAGGGGGGCTGAGTGGTCATTTAAAATGGCCTAGTGACACCCATGATGTCAGGGCAGCTTGCTACGTTTTTAGCATTTAACGAATCCAGGAGCTTCGGTTAGGAACCATAGATGAACATTATGTATCAATCCAAGTGAAGAGAGATGGAGCGTCAAGGTCTGTTTCATCTTTAGTGTAACATAACTTCCAGTTCCTCATGATTAATAGTGTGCAAACATCAGATATGATTCGTTCTGTTAGTTACAGATGGTTTAGAGATGACTCTAGACTCTACGGGCCAGAGTCCCAAACATAGATTAGGGCTAGTGCTAAAAAGGATTTTCAGTGCAGAATTACTGATGTGATTGTAATTTAGTTCAGATTCAGGGTTAATCTGTGTCTGGGAATCAGGCGCTCTACTATAAATATGTTGGGAAATAGTATATTTCTTCATGTTTTTGAAAGCAAAGTGTGTCTTTTTTTGTTGTGTTAGTTACTATACTGTGTCAGCAACGTACTCGTGTATCACATATACCTATAGAGGAGTCTAGTTTTATCAGATTTATAAAAGACAGATAGATCTGTACTGCTTCTCTCAGAAAACAGTCGAGCTCCTGGAGGAGTGCCGTGGGCAGAGCTAAAGAGTCACGAGCACATGCAGCTTTTGCGTAGTGATCGTCTGCTAACTGTGACATTGACATAAATAAAACGGGAACAAAAACTTTATTGACTTAAAGGTCTTTAGTGACGTTGTTGATTTTGTGGTCAAAAACAAAATGACAGATCCTTCTTGAGCAAGTCCTGTGCAGCGCTGCCAAGGACTTCCGCAACCCGAATGAAGCATGTTGTCGGGCGTGCTCTTGCTCTGGCTCTGGCTCTGGCTCTGGTTGATGTGCGTTTGCTTCCGGGAGAAGTGCCCATACAAGGAATTCTGTCCTTTATGACGTCATACAGGGCCATACTCGAAAAAAACTTTCCGAAACTTATACGAACCCTGAAGGAGTGTCTTTCGCACAGAAGTACTCTGTCATACGTCCAACTCATTTTTTGAGACTTTGTTCATGTTTACTTACAGTGTCAATATGTCAGAATGCATGAAATAGCTAGCATTAGACCCCCAATTTAGATTAAAATAACAATTGGATTTGACAGTTTAAATCTTTGAATCATACTCAATCAATTGGTAGCAAATAAACTAGATATTCATGAACAGAACTGTATTGACAGTTTTGGACTAAGAAGTCATCATACATCAACTAAAAATGACCTGTCTTGGTTACAGTTTAAAACATTAAAGTTGTTTCTCATAAAAGCATAGTTTGTTTGCTGATGCTGCTTTTATTGATGTTTTATCATCTAATGTATTGACATTTAAAAATGTAAGTGTGTCCAAATACATTTTTGGTTCACTATTGAGCTTTTGAAAGCATATTTGTGTGTGCTTGCCATTGAATTTTTGTAGTGGTAGTTCACCTTTTTGGAGAGGTAAGGATGTCTTTCTCCCTCTCCTTCTTGCTATTTATTTTTCTTCAGGTAATTATAAACCACAGAAAGTATTTTTCGGTCACTGAACACTTTTGAGCCTCTCTGGCACCGCTCCAGTTTGTTTAACAGCTGCTGTACGGTTACCAGGGAAGGATTTGAGCTCTGTCAAGGACTCCACATTCAGGCTGAATAATTTGCTGCTGAATGATGTGCTGCTGCCGAAAACCTGTATAATTAATTCATTGGACCTACTTTGTTATTTTGGCTTCCAAATTTTAAAGTCAAATCACACAGATAGAATGCAGCTGCATGCGAAACTCAGGGACATGAAACTTGGGTTATGAGGCTTTTTGGATGAATAGAAATGTTGGGCGATGAGATCGTAATCGGATGAGTGTCACGCGGAGATTCATTGAACTCAAGAACGGTTTGAAGTTTTCATTTTGTGAATGTATTCTGTTAGATCCAGATTTTACAATTTTAGTGATTCAGTATTTACAATTGAATGATGAAACATTAATGGGAACTACAAATTCATGTTTTCTGAGGAAAATATGAGTGCTGCTTGTCTGTGAAACATTCCGATGCGGTAGCTAGGGTAGTCTGGGTGGTTGTTAGGTGTAAGGATGGGAAACTTAAGGGATTTTGTTTCTGATTCCATTTTTACTAGTATTTTGTTACACTTTTTTTGCCTTCACTATAAATTTAGATTTTGATTCACTAAAAAAAGAATCAACTCATAGGAGTCATTTGTTTGAGAATCAGTTGGCACACACTGGTTGCACTGTACATTTTTGATTCACTACAAAGAACCAAGTCAACCAACTCATAAGACTCATTCTGTTGGCAGTTGGATTACACTGGTCATGTTGAATGTGTTAGATTCTTTAAAGGGGTCCTATTATGCTCTTTTACAAAGTCTTGATTTTGTTTTGGGGGTGTACTAGAACAGTGTTTCCCAACCTTTTTTTTTAGTCGCAGCACCCTTTGGAAATTTTAACAAAGTTGTGGCGCCCTACAAAATTAATTTTGTCACAATATTTGAATTTCTAACTTTTAATTATTAAAAAATTTTGTCCATCAATGGTCGCAATCAGTAGGCTAATGAAGAGACAAATTTATATGAAAGATTTTAATGTAGGCTTTTATACATATGTAAACATTATTTAATTACCATTATAACTAGCTTTCTCACACATTTTTGCTCACTCAGTGTTTTTTTTATTTTACAGTGGGGTAATTTTGGTGCAGTAGCACGAGATAGCTTGAACTTTGAATTGAATAAAAAACAAGTAAGCAGTCAGTAATAAAATAAGAACAAATAAAGAAATTAATAATAATAGCACAAATAAAAAATAACGACAGGCCTTCGAATGAAATAAAATGCTTTTGAGTTTTTCAGGTAGGTCTAACAGTAGGGTTAAGATATTTAACTTATTATTATTTTTTTTTTTACCAATTATCCAAATAATGTTTAGTCCTAGAAAGCTATTATTATCAGAACACGTGAGCATAACATGCGGTTAGCACACTACACACTGACTAAAATTAAAAAAGTGAAAAAGCATAATAGGACCCCTTTAAAAAGAATCAGCCCACTAAAACCACCTCATAAGACTTAATTTGTTTGATTACACTGTCATGTTAAATGTTTTAGATTTATTAAAAAGAAATGACTCACTAAAAAGAACCAAGTCATTTTTTGGGGAAACAATTGGACTACACTGATTGCATTTTATGTCCTGTTCTTTGTTCACTGAACAGAATCAACTTATTAGAGTCATTGGTAACACTTTATTTTAAGGTGTCCTTGTTACACATGTTACATGTACTTACTATTATGATTTATATGCAATTAATTATGCATAATTACATGCAAGTAAGCCAAACCCAAATCCTAAACCTAACCATAAAGTAAGTACATGTAGTTAATTAATATTACTCAGTACTTATATGAATAATTATACTATAACAAGGAAACCTTAAAATAAAGTGTAACGAGTCATTCTTTTTTTTTAATCGGTTGAAATACACTGGTCGCACTGTATGTTTTTGATTCACTAAAAAGAATCTATTCATAGGAGTCATTCATTAGGGAATCGTTTGGACTATACTGATGACACTTTTTTTGTGATTCACTAAACAGAATCGACTCATTGGAGACATTCTTTTTGGTATCGTTTGAATAAACTGGTTTCACTTTGTTTTTGATTCACCTAAAAAGATTCGACTCATATGAATCATTCATTTGGGAATTGATTGGATTATACGTATTGCGCTTTGTTTTTGATTTCACCAAAAAGAATTGACTCAGGAATCATCCATTTGGGAGTTGATTGGACTACACTGATTGCACTTTGTTTTTTGATTCTCTAAGAAGAACTAATGATTCCTTTGTTTGGGAATGTGTCTGTTTCTGGGTGCTCAGTGGCAGTGCATCTTATGAGGACTCCATCATCATTTAAAATCTTATAACACGCACACAAACACAGAAGTTCTCAATTAGGTCAGAGCCTCTGTGTGGGTATCCCAAATTGGCCTGTGCCCCATAAAACCATGAAATCCACTGCAGAAATCATCTCCGGCAGGTGAGAACCTGATTTAACACCCTTATCCCATAATCACCTTTGAGTGGAGTGGGCAATGGTGACATCATTATAATAGACATGAGAACTTTCGTGGCGTTTGCTTTTGTGAGAAACTCTGATTACACAAGACGTGTCCTCTTTCTCTCTCTGCACTCTCTCTTTTTTGTTGTTTTCCAGTGCTCATAGTCTGTCACTTCTTTTTTTTTTTTTTCCTCCATATTTTTAATTTCTTCTCTATTTCTTGAATTTTCTTGGCTCAGGCAGCCTTGACTTCAAAGTCTCTTAGGATACGTGTTCATCAAAGTGAGTCTCCTCAGGTGAGCCTCACCGTGGAACGAGAGACACGTCTCTTAGTGAAATCCACTGCAGAAATCATCTCCGGCAGGTGAGAACCTGATTTAACACCCTTATCCCATAATCACCTTTGAGTGGAGTGGGCAATGGTGACATCATTATAATAGACATGAGAACTTTTGTGGCGTTTGCTTTTGTGAGAAACTCTGATTACACAAGACGTGTCCTCTTTCTCTCTCTGCACTCTCTCTTTTTTGTGGTTTTCCAGTGCTCATAGTCTGTCACTTCTTTTTTTTTTTTTTCCTCCATATTTTTAATTTCTTCTCTATTTCTTGAATTTTCTTGGCTCAGGCAGCCTTGACTTCAAAGTCTCTTAGGATACGTGTTCATCAAAGTGAGTCTCCTCAGGTGAGCCTCACCGTGGAACGAGAGACACGTCTCTTATATTAAACCTTCTCACGGAGCAAATCTGGCAACCCTGCCCTTATGAGCTGAAGCTAAGGTCACACTAGGCTTTGAGCATCTGATATTACTCCAGATCCCACAACACTGCAAACCAGGCAGCTTTTACATTTGTGCGCTCTTTGAATTCAGCCAAAAGGTCAATCTGTGACGTTTACATCTTCTATAGGTCAAATGTCGTCACACAATACAAATTTGCAGCACAAATGTGTATGAATGGAAGGGAATAGAGTATTTTTTAGGGTGTTTGCTTGATTATATGCATCATATATTGGCTTGAAATGTCGTTTTGTTGTAAACACCACACCAGTGTTATTTTAGTATTCAAGATACTGTTAACAATTTATAATAAGGTTTCATTTGATAACATTAGTTAACGATGAATAAAACCTCTACAGCATTTATTAATCTTGGTTAATATTAACATCAACATTTATTAATAAATTTGTAAGATTATAGCTGTTAACATTAGTTAATGCACTATGAACTAACATTAACATTTTTATTAAATAACATTAAAAAAGGTTAATACATGCTTTAAAAATGTATTGTTCATTATTAGTTAATGTTAGTTAATGCATTGTTTACAAATGAGACCTTATTGTAAATTGTTATTAGTATTTTGATTTTATTTATTTTCTTTTTTTGTTTTAATTTTAAAGTTTTAGTAATTTTGTGTTTGTCATTTTTATTATTATAAATTATTATATATTTTTTAATATGTATTTTTTAATCAAGTTTGATTTAAGTTAGTTTAGTACATCAAATTAAACTAAACATGAGAAAAGTTGCCTTTGCTATTAGCTGAATTAAAAAAAAAATTTTTTTTTACCTTATTTTATTTTTGGTTTATTTTATTTCTAGTAATGAAACTATTTTTTATGGCATTCGTTTTAGTTCAATAACCCTGGTAAACACTGATTTATTGATCATTGATAATTGTCATTTTTTTGTGTTGCAGTGCTGGCCAGTTTTCGAGGAGCGGTGCAGCATGGCTTGCCTCTGGAGATCGGTGACACGGTGCAGATCCTGGAGAAATGTGAAGGTACGTAAGTAGTATAAAAAACATTTTTGTGTTTACACCAGTTTGGACCACAGCTTCAATTTCAAAATGGTTAAGATGGACAATGCTGGTCTGTTACTTGCAAAAGCAGATTATTATTGCAGGTAGACCAACTTGTCCAGGATGAAAGTGCTGAAAACTTACACTGGTAATCAGGGATAGTTTAAGCTGACCAGCTGATTTAAACTGTCTAAGCTTTCATAGGCTTTTTTGATGTCAACAGGGTTGCTTGGGTATAATGTTGCCAGATTGGTCTGGGAGCTTCCCTACTGAAAGACCAATGGTTGGTCACCAGCATATGTTGGATGATGACGTGCATGTTTGTTCCTACCAGGCTTCTTAGCCAGCAGGACTTCCTTTTTCATTCAGCTTTACCAGGAAGTCCATGCAGGTTGAACAGCTTCATTCATTCATGTAGGGCTGCAACTAGCCTTTATTTTGATATTCGACTAATCTAACAATTATTAGAACGATTCGTCGAATATTCAGCCGATTACAATTACTCATTGACTCTTAACTGTCCAATTTTACTTCAGTTAAGAGGTTGCGTTAGGCATGTGCTAACTAGCAATACAGACAATGAAACGGGGTTATTAACATTAACCAAATGTATAAAAACATTTGTTAATTGAAATAAAGCTGAAATTAAATATTAGATGAAAAACTTACACTAAATGAAAATTAGAAATAAAAACTAAAACTGAACTAAAAAAATCAATTAAAGGGGTCATTGATGCTTTTTTAAAGATCATTATTTTGTGTATTTGGTGTAACAGAATATGTTGACATGCTTTAATGTTCAAAAAACACATTATTTTTCAAATACTTTACATTATTGTAGGTCCTCTATGCCCCGCCTCTCTCAAATGCTTCGTTTTCTACAAAGTCCCTCCGTCCGACAAGCGCAGTCTGTTATGATTGGCCAGCTGACCCAGTGCATTGTGATTGGCAGAACACCGCAAGCACTCGTCGGAAATGTAACGCCCCTTACCATAATCGCGAGCTTCATCTTTCAAAATAAATGTAAAGACAGAGCCTGAAAGGGGAACAGAGTCGCGTGGCCGACACCATGATGAAGCTGGTATGTGTGCAGTACACAACCGCTGACTCCACTGTGATCTCTCTCTCTCTCTCTCTCTCTCTCACACACACACACATACAATGCTGCACAATATGCACAATCAGCTTGTAACACTCCAAAGAGAAGGGAAAACTTGAAATTGCATCATATGACCCCTTTAAACCTAAATAGTCAGTTTTTTTAAATGACAAGAACACATAGCAAAATTAAAATAACTAAAATTTTACTAAAATTAAAGTGAAAGCTGAAAATGTAAAAATAATAGCTAATTCAAAATATCAACGAAATCTATTATAGTATATAAATACTAAAATAACACTGCAATGAAACCAATTTATGATAATACTATTTACTAACCTTCAATGAATTATAAGTAAAGTGTGTGTGTGTGTTTACGGGAGGGTTTATGTATGCAAAGTTTAATTCAGTAAATAATGAATTAGTGGAAACCCAATAAGTAGTCTAAATAAAGTAGTATGAAAGTCATTCTGGTCTAAAATGGTCTTTTCAGCAGGGTTGACTTGATTTGATAAACTGCTGACACAGAGACACCTGTACCACCGCTTATTCTTCAAGTAAGCGGGAGGATTTGAAACCAGTCTCTTTTTGTGACCCGCACTCGACTCCTTCGTTTCCTCTTTCCACCCTTTGAAGACACACTCCTTTGTTCTTTGAGTGCACGTACTTCCTGTTTTTTGAGTAAGATACCCAGTTTCAGTTGGAGAACACTAGAAATGTTGTGAAGGAGAACACATATCTTACACAGTTGATATGAAACTGCATATTCATTAGTTCCTGACTGACTGCAGGTGATAATCATCAGATGAAGGGTCGTGTTTCTATATTCAGCTGCTGTTATTACACCATTTACTGTCCAGAGGATGCCTGTTTTTCACACCTAGGCTTTTTTGCCAGGAAGCACAGTTTGTGGGTTGGTTCGCATTGGGCAGTAGGTTTATCAGTAGAGCCCGACCAATATGGGTTTTTTGGGGGCCGATGTCGATACCGATATTAGGGAGTAAAAAAAGACAGATATTGATATATCAGCCGATATTCTTTATGTGTAGGCTATATTATAGTACAGTATAGTCAAGTCAAGTCACCTTTATTTATATAGCGCTTTTAACAGTACAGATTGTGTCAAAGCAACTGTCTATTGGACTGCAGAAAGATACTAACTTTTCAATCTGCTACGTTACTGACTGTACTGACAAACTATGCTGACACAGTGTCCGTGCCGCAACAGGACGCGACAAAGCGACCGTTGAAAATCATTTGAACTTTGTGTCAGCGCGTCATAAATAGAACGGGGCATCAGTTTACTGCATCCAGTGAAAGACAATAGAAAACCCTTAAAGGGACTTTGATCCAGTGTAGACAACATCACTGATATATATATAATGGGTTCTATTCTACACCGGACGCGAGCGGCAATTGAGAATTCTATTGTATTTTGTCGCGCCGCGTGATGTGACCGATTTAATAAGCATGAGTTCTAGGCCACATTGACTGAGTGGCTGCGATCAGCTCCGTTGGCAGTAACACAGGCTTTAATGCGCCGCAGATGCATGCCGTGATGCGCAGATCAGCTCTAGTCTCACTGAATCTGCTGTTAAAAATGAACCATCCATTCATCATATCATCATTGCAAAACTAAGAATTAGAATCATTGTAATGTGATGATCAAATATAGGTGCGGGTGGGTGGCGGGCGGATAATTTGAAGCAGCGGACTCGGGCGAAGTTTGAGCTCATCCACACATCTCTACACTACACTGACCTGGGTCGCCAGTAGCAAACAATGGAGCGTGCTCTGCTGGACAAACTAAGTAATTACACCAAGCATTTAATCTGCGTTATATGTTCTGTAAAAAAATGTTTTATATCGGCGGCATATTCGCCGATACCGATATATCTGTGACAGGCTCATATCGGCCGATAATATCGGCAAAACGATATATCGGTCGGGCTATCGGTTGGGCTCTATTTATCAGTGCTGGAGATGTTCACATCTGTGGCAGTGCAGAGTCGGAGCTTGTTGATTAGTTTGGTTAGTTGGCCAGTGTGCAAGAATGAGACTGGTAGAGTAGGTGTCAGTTGTGTAAATACAATAAAATATGCCACTAGGTTCCTACAGTAAGTGATAAAAGGTGTTTAACAAGCATTTGTGTTGTACATTGTAAATCTTTGGTGAAACAAATGCTACATTTGCCATTTTATGACTCTAGATCAGTGGTCACCAACCTTTTTAGGCCCAAGATCCCTGACCTCGGCCTTTATGAAAGACCAGATCTACCTATTGAAGAATTGATAGAAAAAACATCCCAGATTATACTTCAAATTTGAGGCCTTTTACTTAGTATTTTAATTAGTGATGCGCCGGTCATAGCTGATTCAGAATTAAGATTTTCTTTTTTCTTTTTTTTTTAACTAGCAAATTGGATACTGATACTGATTTTTAAGCACATTTATTTATTGGCTGTTTGCTTTATAACAAATAAACTGGCTTTAAACTAACATATCTAGCCGTTTGAAATTAGAGGCAACCACTGCATTTTAATCACGATCTGCATGGTTTGAAGCAGCGGACTCGGGTGAAGTTTGAGCTCATCCACACATCTCTACACTACACTGACCTGGGTCGCCAGTAGCAAACAATGGAGCGTGCTCTGCTGGACAAACTAAGTAATTACACCAAGCATTTAATCTGCGTTATATGTTCTGTAAAAAAATGTTTTATATCGGCGGCATATTCGCCGATACCGATATATCTGTGACAGGCTCATATCGGCCGATAATATCGGCAAAACGATATATCGGTCGGGCTATCGGTTGGGCTCTATTTATCAGTGCTGGAGATGTTCACATCTGTGGCAGTGCAGAGTCGGAGCTTGTTGATTAGTTTGGTTAGTTGGCCAGTGTGCAAGAATGAGACTGATAGAGTAGGTGTCAGTTGTGTAAATACAATAAAATATGCCACTAGGTTCCTACAGTAAGTGATAAAAGGTGTTTAACAAGCATTTGTGTTGTACATTTGTAAATCTTTGGTGAAACAAATGCTACATTTGCCATTTTATGACTCTAGATCAGTGGTCACCAACCTTTTTAGGCCCAAGATCCCTGACCTCGGCCTTTATGAAAGACCAGATCTACCTATTGAAGAATTGATAGAAAAAACATCCCAGATGTAGAGTAGGTGTCAGTTGTGTAAATACAATAAAATATGCCACTAGGTTCCTACAGTAAGTGATAAAAGGTGTTTAACAAGCATTTGTGTTGTACATTGTAAATCTTTGGTGAAACAAATGCTACATTTGCCATTTTATGACTCTAGATCAGTGGTCACCAACCTTTTTAGGCCCAAGATCCCTGACCTCGGCCTTTATGAAAGACCAGATCTACCTATTGAAGAATTGATAGAAAAAACATCCCAGATTATACTTCAAATTTGAGGCCTTTTACTTAGTATTTTAATTAGTGATGCGCCGGTCATAGCTGATTCAGAATTAAGATTTTCTTTTTTCTTTTTTTTTTAACTAGCAAATTGGATACTGATACTGATTTTTAAGCACATTTATTTATTGGCTGTTTGCTTTATAACAAATAAACTGGCTTTAAACTAAAATATCTAGCCGTTTGAAATTAGAGGCAACCACTGCATTTTAATCACGATCTGCATGGGCAGTTGTTTTTTATTTGATTTATATTAATTTCAGGATTTAAAAAAAAAACAGAATGGTCTGACTTTAGGTGTTATTTATTTATTTGCTACATAAAACATCTGCGTGAAACAGCAGGTCTAAATGAGACGCACTCTCTGACAGCAGGTGGTACTAATGGACAGGGTTGCCAGGTTTTCGCAATAAAACTAGTCCAATCGTGTTTCGAGGGGGGTTCCCCTGTAAAAAGCGCATTCCAGGGGTAAAATATCACGTTATTGGGGTCGCTTCAACCTGCGGACATGAACAACAACCCGCGGCAACAGTGTTAAAGTAGCCCAATTCTGCGGGAAAACCGCGGACTTGGCAACACTGCTTATGAACCGCCCGCAATATAGCGTTTCCTTGTTTACCGCTGTAAATAAAGCAGAGCTGCGCTTTATACGGAGAAGAAGAAAATGCCATTGCCATCGAAACTTTTCTCAAGACAGTTCCCTTCAGTGATACATTAATATAACCCCAGAAATGTAATGCATTTTTGTACTTATTTTACTGTTATTTTCGGGATCTACTGGGACGAGTGCTCTAGATGCTATCTTCAGTGCTATATGGTTGGATGTTTGAGATATTAAATATCTCTTAATGGAAAGAAGAATTTTTAATATCCATTCACTGCACACACATCTTAATTCTGTCAGATTTAACATACTTAAAGGAATATTCACCCTAAAATGTAAACGCCGTCATAATTTGCTTACCCTGAAGTTGACAGTAGCCATTGACTTCCATAGTATTGACTTCCATACTATGGAAGCCAAAGGCTACCGTAAACTGGTTACCAACATTCTTCAAAATATCATCTTTTGTGTTCAACAGAAGAAAGAAACTCGTACAGGTTTGTAACAACTTGAGGGTGAGTAAATGATGACAGAGTTTTCATTTTGAGGTGAACTGTCCCTTTAAATAAGCATAGATTTGCTCTTTTTGAACTAATTTAAGAACATTTCCATCATTACTTACTGTGTTTTGTTAGGTAACATCCTATGAAAAGTAGCTTCATGATAAGGCTCAGTCTGGAAACATTAGGCCAATATTAAAGATGAAAGTCCCTGAAATGTTGTGTGTTTCAGGTTGGTACAGAGGATTCGTCCTCAAGAACACGAATGCCAAGGTAAGCAACTGTCTCTGTCTTTTATCAGTCGTGTCTTTGTGGGATGCTATTTTTAGTTCCTGAAATATCACAGCAACACCGTCAGCTGAAACACACGGATCAAATCCAATATCTTGCTTTATTTCTGTCTGTTTGCTCCCTTGATTATTAGTAGACTTATTCTTTTTTTATTTTGGTTTATTTATCTGTTTATCTATCTTTCTTTTTAGGGCATTTTCCCATGCAGCTACATCCATCTGAAGAATGCTCATATCAAGAATAAAGGGTGAGTTGAAGAAAAGAACATATTCATATGCTGTTTCAGTATTTACTGTAGTAAATCTCCCCCCATGATATTAGTAACATTTGTGTAATTTCAGATATCTGGCATGTCTGTGTAAAGTGCAAACATGCACATTTTACACATCTGTTCGCTATTGTTACTGCAATACAGCCACTTTAACTTATAGTTTGCAGTCTCCAAGAAAATGTTGTTCCGATGTGTTCCCATGCACCACTAAACCATCTGATTTGTTTTGTATTTTTCAGAAAAATGAAAAATTTTGTAAAATATATTTAGCCTTTCCTCATATCTCACACATTGTTGGAACTGAATTTTGTTGATAAACATCAATATGTTTCAACATGCTATTGACAAACTATTGCAGCATGAAAATTGCATATATTTTTTTTCATCTGAAAGTGAAAATTTATGTAAGTACAATGAATCTATTTTGTTTGAAAACTTTAATATTTATGTTGTTTTGTTAGAAATAAATATGTAGTTTTCATAAATTTGCAATCATGAGCTATAATGAAAAGATATATATATAAACCAGTATTATAATATAATATAATGATACAAAATCACACAAAATAACCGATGATGCTGTATTAATAATATTTCAATTAATCATAATATAATATAATATATTTTTTCACATTCACTCATTAATGAGAAGATACTGATCAGATACAATGTGGTTTTAAATCGAAAAATATTAAGTTTTTACTTTTTACAAAGCAACCAAACTACCCCAAATGCAAAAATCATATATACATTTTGAACATATTATGAGGGTTAAAAATAACCAAAATTGTGGCAAAATATTACTTTCGACTTAATCGATATAAACCGAAAAATCGCCAAGCCGTAATTCATACATATCTGGCCATGTAATTGTATTAGCTTCTTCCTTATTTTGCATCCATAAAATATAAGTGGTGTTCTGGATTTTACGAAACCATATTTTGACATTTTGTTGGTGCACAGACATCTGTTGTGAGCCTGCTCTGCCTGAATATAATGCTAATGAATGTAGCGATGGCAAACAGAAGGAAAGCGCCAGCGCTCCACTGTACATCTGCTTTCTCCTTTGATTAACGAACAGTGTAGCATCGGCAGAAGCAGATGAGGTGTATCTCATATCTGTTGCACTGTGTGCCGCCCACATTTGACTCACAGGCAGTTTGAGACGGTAGTGCCGACCGAAGACTCTGTCATTACGGAGATGACGTCCACCCTGAGGGACTGGGGCGCCATGTGGAAGCAGCTCTTTGTGGTAAATACCGTTTACACAAACACAGCAGTCCGCCCACAGCCAGACGCTGACTTCGTGAACTCGGAATATATTATTTGTGTTTAAGCTGTTGTTGTGGGGGGACTTTTTTTGAGTTATTTTTACACCAGGTCATTATATTTGAGTGCTA